CCCACAGCCAGGGAGGACCTGGGTGGAGCCCCAGCCGGGCCCTTCCCAGAGGACAGCCAGCCCGTGTGGGCCCCTCGGTGTCACGCCTTCGGAGGCCACTGGTGACACAGACCAGCTTCCATTTACCCAGGGCCTCTCCTGGGGACGCTGCACTCCTTCCCCCGTGTAGCGGTGCCCACTTCTCGGGCTGTTCGGCACCCTTGGCTCTTTCGGGTCGTCCCTGATTTAAGTGGGGAGATGGGAGGATCCCGGCTGTGGGGGCGGCATCTCATGCCGTGGTGCACCGCGTTAGCCAGACCCCATGAGTGTTGGCCCAGACAGTCACACACGGGGCTGAAGGCCCCTCTGGAGAGATAGGGTGCTCGCTTGCAGGCCTCCTGGCAGAAAGTGGGGTTTATTTTTTGGATCTCTTTTTAAAAAAGATTTCACTTATTTTTAGAGAGGGGAAGGGAGGGAGAAAGAAAAGGAGAAACATCAATGTGTGGTAGCCTCTTGCGTGTCCCCCTACTGGCGACCTGGCCCACACAACCCGGGCATGTGCCCTGACTGGGAATCGAACCTGTGACTCTTTGGTTCACAGGCCGGTGCTCAATCCACCGAGCCACTCCAGCCGGGGAGTATTTCTGACAGGCCAGAATTTCTCAAAGCTGGCGGTGGAGCCAGGTTCTGTGGGGTCCAAAGCTTACAGAGTTTTCCGTGCTGCCTTTAATAAAGAGAGTAAAAAATAACAAATATAAAATTACGTATGAAAGGCGAAATTCATTTAGCGTGGGGGACAGATCACAACAAATGATAAATCTAAGAAAACCGATAAATATCACAACGGTGACGAAATCCAGAAAAATAGCACACTATTATTAGGTAACCGCCCGACACATCTCTCCAGTACCCTTTTCTCCTGGATTTCTTGGCTCTGTGCGCTCTGCCATATGACAATAATTTCACAACGTTATTTTCTTCGGAGTGAGCAGACAGAGAATGCAGCCGCGCACCCGGCGTGGCTGATGGAGACGTGTGCTGGGCGATGGGAAGTTTGGGGAAGGTTCCTTCCGCTGCCAGACTCCCCTGTAGGCCGGGCCCTGGGGCGGCCCCTCCAGCCCTGGGGCTGCCCCTCCAGCCCCGGACAGCTGTGGTCTTCATGTCTTTCGGGCACGGGCCAGTGCCCAAGCCCCTCAGCCACGGGTCCAGCCCCGCCGGGTGCCCGCACCCCCTTGTCCCCGAGCCCCAGCATTGTGGGGGTGAGCCGGCCTCCCCGACTGGGCCGGGACGGCCCCGGGCGCAGAGCGGAGCCAGCAGGACAGCCAGTCACTGCGTCTGGAAGTGCCGTCGGGGCCGGTGTGCGGGACGGATTCTGGAGCTGCAGACAGCGGCCGTGGGCTGGTGGCATGGCCTCAGGGCTGCAGCCGGGAGCCCGTGCCCGCCTCTGTGACTGTCACCGGGGCAAAGAGGGGGACCCCAGGCTGGGGCTGAGCCGCACGTTTCCAGGGCGAGGCTGGAGGGTGGGCGGGCCTTGGAAGGGCCGCACCAGGGAGGGGGCCTCTGCCCGGAACGCCACCCTTGGCTGTCGGGGCCCTCCCTGGTGAAGACGGGGAAGGGATGTTTTTGTTTTCTTCCCGGAGCCCATGACACGGCGACGGACACGAGACGCATCGGTGTGTGGCTCGGTGGCTGCTCAGGGACTGGCGGCTGTAGGGTTGTTAGAGGATTACCGTCTGCTGTAAGGGTTCTCCCGTGCATTTTATCCGAACTTGCGGTTTCCCAGAGCCTGCTCCTGCTTGGGTGCAAAGACATTTAGGCTCAGCGGGCTGAAAAACTGCCCCCCTCCCCCCACCGTGCGTGCTGGCATCAGGGTTTCCGTTAACCCGGCGCACCGTCCGCTCCCTGGCCCCTGGGCCTGTCCCCTGTGCACCCAGACTCTGGCCAACAGCTCGGACCTCCCGAAAGGGAGCTGGTCCTGCTTTCGTGTGCTGACCCACCCATCGTGTCTCTCTGCCCCCGGCCCTGCCCACTGCCCATCCTTTCCCACACCTGCGCTGGCGGGGTCCTGCCGCAGCCCCAGCCACCCCATGCCTGCCTGGCTTCCCCTCACCTGATGGGGCTCCTGGGGGGCCGCTCTGCCGCTGCCCCCTGCAGTGTGAGCCCCTCTGAGGAGGAGGGGTTGGCTTCCTGGCCCAGGGCCCCTGGGGAGACCCTGATCTTCGGGCCTTCGACTTCCTCCTCCCCAGGCCCCCAGGCTCAGGGTCACCGCCGAGGCCACGTCTGCCCGGCCCCGGCTGCCTCCCGACAGGCCCGGAGGGGGGAGCTCTGCTCCCGACTGTCCGCATTTGCCGCGAGCCCGTCTCCCCAGCGGCCCCCGGGGCCATGGCGAGGCCGGGCGGCTCTCTCTCGCCCTGGTCTCTGCGATGCTCTGTGTGGCTCTTCCACAGCTCGCGCCCTCAGTTTCATTGGCTTGCACGGGGCCTCATGGGGGGCACAGCACCGGGCAGAGCCAGAGTTCAAGGTCAGGGCCAGCTTCCGGTTAGTGCAACCTCCCGCCCCGTTGCACATTCTTCTGCTTGCCTCTCAGTCTTCTGGAAACATAAGCGCTGCCCTTGTCTGTCCGCATGGGAGCTGTTGGCCAGAGTCCGGACGCACAGGGACAGGCCGGTGGGCCAGGGAGTGGACGGTGCGCCGGGTTAACAGACACCCTCTCGCCAGCGCGCACGGGGGCAGTTTCACGGCCAGCCGAGCCTACACCGCTTTTCCGTGCAAGACAACCTCAAGGCGCGGTGGCCCGTTAAGTACGGAAGCCCGGAAACGCTGTGTGTGAGGGACGGGCTGTCCGTGACGGAGCTGGGTGGCGTCAAGGCGCCTGCATGAGCCTGGCTGTGTCCGGAGTGTTTCTCGGGTAGCAGAGTCCGACCCCTGGGAGCAGCGGCCTGGGTGTGGGTGCTGGCCCCACTGATGTTTACATGGGTGGGTCTGGCCTGGGGGGGGGCGGGGTCCTTGCACAGCAAAGGTCCCAGACAGACACTCAGGTGTCAGCCCTCGATGTGGCTGTGGTGGCCATGACTTGGCTGCATCTCAGGTCCCCATGCACGACTCGGGGACACGCTGTGAAAACACTGCTGGTGTTAGAGGGACTCGGGGAGGTGTCCCAGACAGCGTCCAGCCTCGTGGGTGTCCTCCGTCTCTGGTGCCGGTCACATTCCTGCCACCGCCCCCGTACCCCTGCAGTCACCCAACGGAGAGCAGAGGTGACGGCGGGGAGGGGTGCCTCGGCGTGCGCGGGCTCCGTGGTGACACGCGTCCTGCTGTGTGAGCGCTCCTCGGTCGCACAGCCCGGCCGGCAGGACACCCATCCTCGGCCACGGATGCTTCCCAGGGGTCCGTGTTGGGTGCGGGCTCTCATGCGAGAGCCGCCATCAGAATATGCGTCATGCTCACGACGCCCCGCCCTTCGCCGCGTGTGTATTTACGCACGAGAAGGTGTGTGACCGCTGTGTGTCTCCCTCGGGGAGCAGGTGGGCGCGGAGGGAGGAGGGGGCCGCCGGCGGTCACGGAGGACCCGAGAGGAGCGCCGTGAGCACAGGGTGTCACAGAACCCCCGGCCCCTCCCCAGCGCGCTCCGACGCGTCACCGGCGCTGCCTGCGGGGGGACAGGCGCGGGCGGCGGAGGTTTGGGCAGGAAGTGGCTGACCCGTGTCACAGCAGCTCATGGGCGCTCGGGCCGGGGTTGGAGCCCGGGGTCGCTTCCACCGCAGCGGGTGTGACGGCGTCACTTCTCTGGCCGGCTGCAGGGGCCGGGGAACAGGGTCTCTGCGTCCTCACTCCTCTGGGGGGGGAGAGGGGTGGTGACCGGACTCAAAGCAGCCAGGAGCAGCCAGCAAGAGGGGGCCCAGGGGAAGAGGGAGAACCCTGTGAACCGACGTGGCGTCTCCCCCCGGCGTTCTTCACGCAAGGAGCAGAAGTGTGTTCCGTGCTCGCCGGTGCAAACCAGGCGCAGGGCTTGGAGCCACGGCAGGGTGTTCAGTGTCGGCACCTCGGGGAGATGTTCAGGTGCTGCCGTCTCCTTTTGTCGCCGTGACTGCAGGCCTGAGGGGCCAGGAGGAAGGGTGTGGGGAACGCATTGGTGATTTCCATTACTCACCTGCCCGGGGGTGACCTCGGCCACCTGTGAGTCGGCACAGGGACCTGGGGGTGGCCGGGTGCAGTGGCAGAGCTCTGAGCCGGCCCTGGGCACCTGGGGGCTCCTGGTGCTGGTGACCACAGGCAGCTGTCCCTCTGTCTGGCTTCCCTCCCCCGCCCCGCAAACCGAGACCGTGCTAGTGGTTTCTTTCAGTTTCTTGTGACGGAAACTCAGGGAATGGGAGTGTCACCTTCTCCCCTCACCTTGGCCGAGGCCGCGCTTCAGCCGGGCGGTGAGGAACCTGGCGGGGGCTCCACCCCGGGCCGGGGCCCCAGAGAAAGGAGCTGTTCTTTCAGTGTTCACACCTCCCTCCGAGTCCGGGGAAGGCTCTGGGTGGTCTTCCTTGGGTCTCGGCTTGGCTCACGTGACAGTGGACACGGGGACGGGGTCCTCCGGCTGATGTTCGTCAGGAGGAAGGCGGGGGCGGGGGCGCTGGGCAGACAATGGCCGTGGATGTCTGCCAAAGACACGGAGTGGCCAGAACCTGCGTGCCATCGTGTCAGCCGCACGTCCACTCATTTCTTGCCTTTTCCTTATTGTTTCCCTCTTTTTCGTGTGAACAGAATTGTGTTTAGGGTGTGAAGGGATTTTATCTCCCCGCTCAGCGTTTCTGCCGTGGAAGACCTGTTTGGTGGCCGTGTGGCTACCCATCGCTCCGGGGGTTGCAGAGTGCTCCGTGAGCCGGGGGGCGTCTGTGGTCAGGACACACTCCTCCCACGGCGCCAGGGGCCCCTTCCACTGCCCTGCCCTGATAGGGCGCTGGCTGAGACTCCCGTGGGTGGAAAGAAATCAACTCTAAAACATTACATGTTTTTTAGAACTCTGTTGTCGAAAGGAAAGGCCCACACTTTTGGCTATAGAACACACGGGTCCCGGAGACGGGCGCACGGCAGGGGACCGCACTGCACGGCACCGTGCGCCCCGTCAGGGAGTTGCTAAGGCAGCGGGCTTCAGAGTTCTCGCCACAAGGGAAACATTTCTTTTTGTAACTCCGCGTGGTGACAGGTGTTAACTAGGCTGGCCGTGGTGATCATTTTGCAACGTGTGCGAAGAGCGCATCGCTGTGTCGCACACCTGAAACTAACATACGGCCGCGTGTCAGTTCTGTCTCGGTAAAAAAAGGATCCGCGGCAGCTTAGCCCCAAACACACACACACACACACACATACACACACACACACACACACACACGGCGCATCCGCCGACCAGCCAGCCGCACAGAGCCGCAGCCGCTCAGGACACACCGCGGAGACGGGACAGGAGCTTTAGGGGCCAGAGAGGAGGGCAGGGTGCCGTGCTGACGCCCAAGGGTGGCCGCCGTGGCCACGGCCGGACGCCACGTTCGGTCTGCGGCTCCCGGCGCCCGGGACGAAGAGGGACACATGCTGTCACTTCGAGAGCAAACCCGTTTCTCGGGGGCAATGAGGACGCCCCCCGCCCCCCAGGCAGGCGTGGGCGCACCCACCTTTCCCAGCACACAGCCCGGAAGAGGCTCGCGCCTGCGCTTCTGCACACGTGTGCGCACAGGGCGAGGGACCGCTTCCCCGACTCCGCGTGGCGGGTCCTAGGGACGGGAGGCACGGGTCGTGACCCCGAGGGTTTCTGGCTGGGTCTAAACATAGAGCTCATCGGGGTGGGGGGAGGGCCGTTGAGGAGCGCTCGTTATAGCAACGAGGATGTGGTCACGATGTCCGCGGTCGCTGGGCTGCTGGGGTCCGGGCACGCTGACGTCCAGCGTGGGCGGTTGCACGCTTCCGAACGAACGTGGCCTTGGACTCTCGCCTCCTCAACAGCCGTCAGGCGCCGCCTCTGGGCGGGCGCTCTGGTGTCGCCCTGGCCTCAGGGCCCCTCCCCCACGCTGGTCTGCCCCACGACACTCAGCCCTCTGAGAGCTCAGGCTGTCTGCTCATGCCCCACGGAGGGGCCGGGGGGGGGGCGGTGGAGGGTCTGGAACGGCGGTTTCCTTAGCAACTGCTTGTGTCACAGATGCACACAGTCCAAAGGCCCATGCTCTTTGGAAAACAGAAAAAGAGACGCTATGAGGGCACGTTTCAGGTGCATCTCCATAGGGTCTCGAAGGAGACCCTGTTTTTCACGCGCGTGGGACGAGCCTGTGAACGTGCGTGTGCGTGTGCGGGGGGGGGCGGGAAGCAGAACCCTTCCACGGACTCACAGACTTTGGGTGGAGCCATTCCCCTGCGGACAGCTGCGACCCGGGACGTGTGCGAATCCCGGCCGGCAGGAGGCCGGCCTGTGCCAGGCACAGGGCAAGGCCAGCGTGGGCCCACGTTCAAGACCAAACTCACCGAGTCGGATGAGCAGCGGCAGCCTGACTGGGCGCGGTCTGGTGGGCATGCTGGTTTGGGTGGAAACTGGGTGGGTCGGGGGGTCCCTGGAAGGTTGTGAGTTGGGGACGGAGGAGACCTTGCTGAGGCAACTGCTGGGGGATGGGCGGAGACAGTCAGAGCCAGGGGCGGGGCCGAGAGGGGACTGGGGGGAGCGTGCAGCCCCTCAGGCTGGCGCCGGTGGCTCCAGTGCTGAGCGGTGGCTGTGGACTGGGCGTCTGTCCTGGGTCCCGCCCACAGACCTCCCTGTTCCTCAGAGTCTGCCTCGGCTGCGGGTGGCTGGTTGGGGTGGGGTTGCTTTTCCCGGAGAGAAAAGGCCCAGGGCAGAGCTGGGCTCGGTGGTGATGGGCCGGGAGGGAGGGGGCCGCCGGGGGACCCTCAGTGGGGCTTTCTGACCGTGCTGCATGTGAGGTGCCCGCTGGGCGCCACGCTGGTGGTAACGAGCGGGAAGCTACGCGGTCACGAGAGCCCTGTCCGTAGGGGCTGGAACACACCGCGCTCTGCTCCTGGTGCGGAGGCCCCCCTTTGACCTCTGGGCAGCCCGGTGCTGCTTCACTCGCCACCTCACCTTCCGGCCGCTTCTCTCCCTCTCCTCTTTCTCTCCACGGGGCTTCCTTTGCGTGGGCCTGGAGGGACACCAACGCGCTGCCCGAGTCCACGGTGTGTTGGAAGTCTTAGGTGTGTCGACGAGGCAGAGGCCTTCGAGTCACTTGTTTGCCGTCACTCACTCAGCGGTCGTCCCCTGACCTCCCGCTCGGCTCTGGGCCAGGCGGACAACAGGCTGCGGGAGGGACACACGGAGAAGGACAGGGCCCGGCGGGGGGGGGGGGGGGCGGGTGACTCAGAGGAGACAGAGCAGCGAGCAGGAACTGTGACGCTCAGTGGCAAAGAAACGAGGTGAGCAGAGGGAACCCTGGAGGGCTTCCCAGTGGAAGTGTCTTTGCGGCGCTGCTCGAAGAATGAGGGATGGGAAGAAAGCTCAGGGAGCGGAGGGGAGGGTGGAGCTGGCTGGAGGAGCCGCGGGCGTCCGTCCAGCTGGGGAATTTGGACTTTGAGAGCTTGGCGCTGGTCCAAGTTTAAAATAACAGCAGCATGATTGTCGCCAGGTCGAACAGTGACCCTGGCCTGGGGGGCGTTCCTGCTGCCCTCCTGTGCGCCCCGTGCACCGGAGCTTCCGGGGCCGTCTCCTCTCTTCCGGGGACGTGGTGTCCAGACGTGCCTGCCTGGACCCCTGTCACACTGGTCCTCCCTTGCAGTTCTAGAAAAAGTAAAGCTTAAAAGTCACCGTTGGTGGTGCGATCGCTCACTGTTTTCTGTGGCCAAAGACGTGGGGGCTCCATCTGCCAGTGTTTCGAGATGAGTGTTCCAGTGTGCATCTGTTCTGACCCCGCCCCCGTGGGGGGGGCAAACGTGTGTGTCAGCGGTGTTTTGTGTTGGTGTGGTGGGTGGGCCTGCGTGTGTCTGTGTGTGCCCAGTGGACCACTCCGGCGGCCGCGGTGGCCTCCTCTGGAAGTCCGCACGCCAAGGCGAAGGTCAGATGCCTGGGAAGGTGACTCACGGGCAGAGAGAGGGCCCGCTCTGGCCATGAGAGCATCCCCAGGCTGCTCGCTGTGAGACGCCCCCACACGTGGCTGGAAGCCACGCCGGGCGTGAGACAAGGGCCCGTGTGCAAGCCTCAGGGGGAGGGCATGCTCGGCCCTTAACGCTGAGCGTGATGGGAGGCCAGTGTGTGTTGGCAGCAGCAGCTCCCTCGGGGAGGCCGTCCGGGCTCCCGGGGCTCCCGGTCACCGCGTCAGCCCGCGCGGCCGCCCCTTCCGGAGGACAGCCGGGCCGGCCCGCGGGGGCTCCGTGGGCCCGCGCACCTCCACGCTGCAGATGGCTCCCTTTGTAAGGGCTGAAACCGTGTTTGGTGGAACTGATTAAATATGAAAACACCGCCATCTGCCACTTACTCTCACATAAAACGGCGCGGGCAGACGCTGACGTCTTTGGAGGTGATCGATTCAGCCCCGGGAAGAGGAGTCGCTCACGGGGCGGCAGCTGCCCGGCGCCCAGGCGGGGCCTCTGTCCAGGCACCGACGCTGTCCGGCGGGCACACCGGGGTGGGGCAGGGGACGGCGCTTTAGTAGTGAAAGCAGCGGCTGTCTTCTCTGCTCCCCCGGGCTTCTGGCCTGTGTGTAGCTGGGAGGATATTCTGTGCACGTTGCTGCCCCTGTGTGGGCCGGACACCCAGCCCTGAGAGAGCGGGAGGGTCTCCTCTCAGTTCAGTGCCGAGAACTGTCGAATGCTCCATGCCTATGCGGCTGCTGAGTGCAGAGTTCTCCTTTCTAAGGGGAGGTAGACCGATGGGTTTTACTGAAAACTGCATGGTGTACAAAGAAACCGTGCCACGTGTTACAGACTGATTTACAAAGAGCTGCATTTACATTTTCCCCGGCCAGTGTGGCTCAGTTGGTTGGGGCGTCGTCCTGCCAATGGACCCAGTCAGGGCACATGCCTAGGTGGCAGGTTCGGTTCCTGGTCGGGGTGGGTGTGAGAGGCAACCAGTCGATTGATGTTTCTCTCCATCCCAGCCCCTCTCTCTAAAATGAATCAGCAGGCCCATGGGTGAGGACGAAACCGGAAGAAGAAATAGCCCCATTTGCATCCCTTCAACAGCTACGGTGATCTAATGTTCTTTGCAGGAGTGTTGGTAACAAACTGTATCTTTGTGTAGGAATATTTTCCTACCAATTTTTCCACAACCTAAATCCTTTCAGAAAGCAAATTCAGACATTAAGACACTTACTTGGTGCTGTGTTTATAAAATACTCTTCTATTCGTGGACTGGTTGTTAGATGTAAAATGATTTTTTTCTCTCTAATAAAATTAAAGCCAGAGGGAAAACCAGGATTTTCTCATCTTGTTCATCATGATTTTAAATATCTGAATTTTTTTGTGACTGGTTAGGCAAAGTGATTTAAGACGGCTTGGGACTGTTCCCAATGAAACCAGATGTGGTGACGAGCTGTGCCCCTGCGCCCCTCGGGGCCGTGTGGACGCAGCCGGGTCTCCGTGGGGGTGCCCGTGGGGGACGCCGTCATCCTGAAGCAGGTCCTGGCCCACTTGTCTCCTGTTTCCTGGGGCCCAGTCCTTCCACCGCCGCCGCCGCCGCGCTCCGGCCTGGCGAGCCGCGCAGGAGGGCTGTGTGCCGCCTGCTCCTCTGCCAGCGTGTCAAGCGACAGTTGCAGGAAAGTGTGGCCAGAAGTGTCACCTCTCGGGCCACATTCTTAGCCTCTCCTCGCGGCCACGCCCAGTTTGCCCGCCCACGTCCGCCTCTGAGCCGCCTGTCACATCCTGCCCACGTCTCTTCCCCACCGCCACTGGTCCCTTGGTTTTCTCTGTGCCGGTTTCCTTATTTATTTCGTACTCCTCCAGCTTTGGGGAGATGCTGGGATGTACTTCTAGAGGGAGCAGGAGACTGGGGCTGGGTGGTCTCCTTGCCGCTTCATCACAGTCACCCACCGCTCTGCCCACGTCCTCCCCCACGCGGCCCCCTTCTCTTCCTCCTCCTCGCCCTCTCTAGAGCACCTGCTCCCAGAGAGCTGGACGTGCCTGGGAGAGCCCGCCCCCACCCCCGCTCGGAGCGTGACCGGTTTGGAGAGGGTCTACAGAGACGTGACTGGGTGTAGCCCGGGCTTTAGGATGGGCCCTTGTCCAGTCTGACGGGTGTCCTCACGAGCCGGGGACACTCGACACAGACTCCAAGAGGGAAGACGACCGCGTGAAGACTTGGGGAGAAGGCAGCTGTCCACCCGCCACAGAGTGCCCCTCCCAGCCCCCAGAAGGGACGGGGCTGGCCAGCGCCCTGAGCTCTCACCTCTGGCTCCCAGAATTGTGAGAACGTGAATTTCCGGTTTTCAGCCCCTCTGCCTGGGCTCTGTGTTACAGCGGCCCGAAGAGACAAATGCCCAGACTGCCCCCGTCCCCAGGGTCCCACTCGAGGGGAGAGAAAGATGCGAATATCAGTTGTGAGACAGGGACAGGGGCGTTATCGTGAAGCTGGGTAGAAAGTCTGGCAGAGGGAGGGGGAGGGCCATCTGAAAGGCCAGGAAGGCTTCTTGGAGGAGGGGGTACGGATGTGGCAACTTACTGATGAGGGTGGAGGTTTCAGGCAGACGTTTGGAGGAAAGTGTTCTGGGCAAAGGAGGAAACTCGTGCAAACGTAGGAGGGTGTGGGAGACCTGAGGTCGCTTAGGCGACGGTGGCAGCCTGCTTGGTGCCTTTCTCCGGCACCCCCTGTCCCTGCCGATGTGACGGGATCTCCTGCCTCCGTACCCCCTTCATTCTGGGGGACATCCTTTGCTCGGCGAGCAAACACTCTTGTCTCGAGAACCCGAGTCGTGTCTCGAACCTTGGATTTGAGTGTGGGGGGAACTGGGCCCTGCCCCGTCCCCCCGCAGCACTCCCCCGTCGCTGCCTGAGGGTCTGGAGCAGCAGGCTGCCAGGTGTCATGGCTCTGAGGCCTGCCTGCGGTCAGCTGGGCCGTCCTCTCCTGGGGTCCCTCCTGCGTGTGGTCCCGTGGCGGCCAGACCTGGGATCCCCCCGAGGGGCTGGCAGGGTGGGGGTCCCAGACCACAGGTTCCCTCCCATGCGTGGCACCTGCTCCGGGGCTGGGGGCTGTGGCCTGGTCTTCCTCTCTGTGCCGTGTCCCCCAGACACAGCAGGCAGCCCTGCGTGCTCCGACATCGTGCACTGGGCCCGGCTTTTCCCAGAACAAGCCTTTGAAGGGACAGAGGAGCAGACATGTGCCCTGGCCCCACGGGCCACACAGCAGTGCCTCTGTCGAGTTCCCCTGGCTGCACCAGGCCGGCCGAGACGCCAGGCGGGGGCGCCGCGCAGGGCCTGAGTGCTGGGGGTGCGGTTCCCAGGAGAGCCCCCAGGTCTGCGCCGAGTCCCCCTTCCTAGGGGCTGGCGGCATGGCTCTGCGAGGTCATTGTCAAGAACTTGAACTAGCAACTGGCACCATGACAAAATTTTCTTTGCTTAAGAAAGCCAGACCAAGAGAGTGTCAAATTCGGTAGCAGGTCCCCTTGGCTGAGCCAGGACGACTCAGCGGAGACGTCACCGTGCGGAGCTCCATGGGACAGCCTGCCCAGGCCACGTTGTGCGTGTCACGGGGACCGGACACACTGCTCCGGCTGGCTCGGTCCTCACCAGGGGCTGGGGGCTGGAGGCAAGAGGGGCGGCTTTCATTCAGCCTTCGATGAGCGAGGGCCCGGGAGGGGACCACCCGCCGTGTTATCGGGGAGCACCCGCGAGCCGCCTGTCCCTGGCACCCGGAGTCTCGATGGGGAGGCTTCTCAGGGAATCCTCTCCGAAGCCAGAGCAACTGAAATCTGAGTGAAGGCGGAACATTGAACTGGCTGCTAATTCCTTCCCTGTGGAGTGTGTTTCAGTCCCAGCTAGAAGGATCGATTCGGCTTGTTTGCTAAACCGTGTCGAGAGACGTGAGTGTCAGTAGCGCACGGGACCTTACGTCGCAGGCAGGAGCCGGCATGGTGGGACCCTCGGTCTGCTTCCCACGCCGCTCCTCGGGGGGCCTCGCCCCGTCTGCAGGCCGGCCGACGCCTCTGCCTGATGTGCACTGTGTTCCCTGCGACATCAGTTTTCATTTTCTCCTCTGCGAGCAGGTCCTTCGTCCTTCCTGCCATGTGCTCGCTTAGTTCTGACCGTGTTGTGCGAGCATCCTGCGTCGTGAGTGGCGT